CAGCATGTCTCTATCGAAATAAACCTACGTTCCTATGAAAATTGAAGCTTTTGTTTTTTTGCGGCCCACATAAACTTGGCCCGTGTTAGCCTTTGAGTTTGACATACTTGCTTTAAAAGCTGGGAATACACTCTAGCCGGTTTTGCTCAGTGGATAGAACTTTAGCCTGTGGACTGAAGGGTCCCAGGTTTGATTCCAGACAAGGGCACATGCCTGGGTTGTGGGCTCGATCCTCAGCAGGAGGCCTGCAGGAGGCAGTCTATCAATGATTCTCTCTCTTCATTGATGTTTCTATCTCTCTCTCCCTCTCCCTTTCTCTCTGAAATCGATAAAAATATATTTAAATAAATAAATGCTGGGAATAGAAGTAGGACCCCAGTGAAGTTACTTGAAGTTAAAAGCCCATGTAAAGAAATGGTATTTCGTCCAGTTTTGAAACCTCTTTCCCACAAGCATATGCTTGTTGCTGTCTTCAATAACAAAATATTTTAAAAGATACTGTTACTTACAGAACAATTTTTCTCAGAATAAAACTCATTATGCCCCAAACATGTACTCAGTAAGTTAAGAAACAGGTATAATTTAGTAACTTCTAACCTAATTTTAATCAGGTTACACACCACATTTTTAAAATCTAGATTATGTGAAATCAGTCATTACAATGCTACAAAGAGTATTCCACCATAAAACCAAAAGTGTGTATAATACTGAAGTGACAAAAACTGCATTATTATCCTACCAGTTAATTCTATAAGACTGATAACACCTTAGTAATACCTATTCATTGATTAACAAACTGAATGCCATGTAGCAGAAGGCATGTTAAACTTTTAAACTTTTGTGATCTCAGCCTATTTTCAAAAGAATAAAGAGAAAAAAACTAAAACTATAATTTACAGTAAAACATAAACTATGTTATATTCCACAAAATGGATTTCCTCAAATAGAGATCTTACAGCATACAAACCCAAGACATTGCAAAAATATGTCAGATTTTTTATTAAAGGAAACTGCCTCTAAATTTGTCAAAATAATTCAGTTTCTCTACTCAGAAAGTTATTAGCCTTGATGAAAATAACTTGTGTATTCAGTGTTGTTGTATACCACTCTCTTAAGTCTAAAGACCTCCAAATTATTCGATTCAGCTAGTAAAAACCAATTCCTTGCTTGAGGAGATATTTGCAACCAGAGGAATTCAAAATACAATGGAGAGAAGCAAAAAAAGACCAACCCTCCACCCACACACAAAACCAAGCCAACCCAAACCCAGAACTCTTAATTCTCTTAAAATTTCAGTTATTGCCCTGGCCGGTTTAGCTCAGTGGATAGAGCGTCAGCCTGTGGACTGAAGGGTCCCGGGTTCGATTCCGGTCAAGGGCATGTGCCTTGGTTGCTGGCACATCCCCAGTGGGGGGTGAGCAGGAGGCAGCTGATCGATGTTTCTCTCATCGATGTTTCTAACTCTCTATCCCTCTCCCTTCCTCTCTGTAAAAAATCAATAAAATATATTTTTTAAAAATTCAGTTATCTACACTAATAATAGACAAATATGTAAATTGGCTGTACCTTCGCGACACCCCACAGTCAATTAGGAGTATGCAAATTAACCCGACAAAGATGGCGGGCCTGTGGGCAGCGCGCACACGCCCAGGCACCAAGTGGCTGGGGGCGGAGGGGGGGCCATGGCGATGACGCAGGCATTCCGCACTGCCCCAGCTGCTCCGGGCCTCTGAGCAGCGTGGGAAGGCAGAAAGGCAGCTCTGGGACAGAGTGAAGGCAGAAGGGCAGCTCCAGGCCAGAGCGAAGGCAGAAAGGCGGCTCCAGCCGAAGCGAAGGCGGTGCCGGCAGCCAGGGGAAGGAAGACCCATTCTTGCACAAATCTTCATGCATTGGGCCTCTAGTCTATATATATAAAAGCTGAAGCAACTGTTAGAACCGGACAACTGGCCGGTAGCTATGATGTGAACTGACCACCAGGGTAGCTATGACACGCACTGACCACCCTCAACGCAAGAGCTGTCCTCTATGGTCAGTGCACTCCCACAGCCAATCTCCTGCGGTCCCTCCCCCCGCCGGCCGGACCTGATCAGCCCCAATCGCCGACAGGCCGAGGGACCCCACCGTGCACGAATTTTTACACCAGGCCTCTAGTTTCCTAATACTTTTCTTTTATAGCTATTCACCCCATTTTTATATATCCTTTACATTTTCCTTACTATAGGTCAAATTCAGAGTAGCTATTCAGATGCCAAAAGTGTTTTAATTCTATTGTAAATCTTCCTGTACCAAAATGAGAATTTAAAAAAATTTGAAAGCAAGTAATTGACAGGTTTAAAAGTACAATTCTATGCTGCATAAACATTGAAAGTTTTATTTTGAAGATCCTACAATATGTAACTATATAAAATAGCATAATGTAGTAGTTCCATTGCTCAAACAACTAAAATTGGGATGATTTGACAACATAATTCTAATTCCAGTCTTTCTGATTTAATTAACTTTCAACAAATAAGGCAAAATACTTTTTTTTTTTTTACCTAAGTAAAGTTGATCTTTAGAAATAATGTTTTCTAAGCTGCTTTTGAAAACAGTTAAGTAGGCAGCTCTACAGTTCATATAAAATATCTCCTCTTCAGTTAGTGGATATTTCTTTGTTCGAGGACTCTCGGAAAGCGATGATTTCTGACTGGAGAAGGCTGCATCACTTCCTGGACTGATGGCCATTTTACTAAAAAATAATTTTAAAAACTGGTTTAGTATATGTTAATCCCCTAAAGTGCAAATGTCATCTTGCCTTTCAAATGGGAGCGGGAGGATCAAGACATTAAAGTTTTTAGTTGTGGGGGGAAAAAAGATGAACATTATAATATGCATAAGGTTGTATTATCTGGTAAACTAGAAAAGTTTCTGCTTTATTAATATATATGTATATACCAAAGAACAAAACCAAAACAAAGATGTAACAAATACAAAGAAGAATCATAGGAAAGGAAAAACCTACATCTATTCTCTCAAAATAACAGGACAGCCAGTTAAGACTCTTCATAGGATTGTCATGAGGATTAAATACTAGTAAGTTAATATATGTGAAGCATACAGAACAGTGCTTGGCACAAATTAAGTGCTAAAGAAGCTGTACATAGAGTGAAACTCCACAGTAACAAGAACGTGGATGTAATGTGATTGGCAGCTGGCATCCATCTCCACAGCAGGATCAAGCAGGTCATTTCACTAACCTTTCAATAATGCAGCCCCACATTTTACATGACTGGTTTTTAAAAATCCCATTTATAGTGTTATGAAATGTTACTGTTCCATTACTAACAATAATGTTTTGGGTTTATATAACACCTCTGCTAATAAGAGCTTAAAAAACGGTCATACATCATGATGTGTCCCTACTACAGTGGTCAGGTATTTTTAGTCCATTTTACAGATGAGAAAATTGAGGGGCACAGAGTCCCCAACTGAACAGTCGGTAGCCAAAGTCAGTAAATTTCAGTAACCGTTTCTTCTTTATTAATGTGCATGAAGGCTTCTTGTACAATAGTTACAATGAGGCACTAAATCGTGCTGGCCGTCTAACAGCTTCCAACATTATTTTACCCAGCTTTGACTTTAAAAAATACATTCCAGCCTAATAAATTGAATATTTCAAGTTCAACAATAAGACGACACAGGTAGGGTCCCCTTCAGGACTCATTGGATTCTTACTCAAGAGGCCTAAATCACTTGCACCTTCTTGAATTATATAGGTCTTTTACACTTGGGAAAGAAAGATAATAATCGCTTATCATGGATGAAGTACCCTATTTATAATACACAGACCGCCTGCCTGACACTTTCCTATTACACCAGATTTAGAAGGACCCCATAGGGACGTGGTGTCACAGTCTGGTTACTGCAAATTGGTATCACGATAATTAAGCATCAGAGTTTTAAACACATATGCGTCCACGCATCTCCTCCAAAAAATGGGAAAGAAAACCGTTCCAACGAGGAAGAGAGGACGTGCATTTTGCAGCAAGCAATTTTAAAATGTGATGGGTTTTATTTATTTATTTATTTGGATTGTCTTCGAATACTCTTTCCAAATAAGGTGCCTCCCTCCCGTGGAAATCCCCGGGCAGAAATGGTCCAGAATTCTATTCTTTCCCTTTCTGTGAGGGGAGCCGAAACTAGGCTTAAATAAATATATAACTGGACCCCCCTCAGGCTTGGAAACCTCCTTCATTTAAAACTCCAGCCCGAGCGCCAGGCAGGGGCCTAGAGAGCACATTGCAGCAAACGGCTCCATCAATAACCAGCCGCACGGTAGCGAGAAAAATAAACGAACAAGCGCCTCGGGCTTTTCCAGGGCCGAGTGGAAACAGAGCGCCAGCCACACCGTCCCCATGCGGAGAAACATGTGCACAGCTGATCCCGGGCAGCATCGCTGTCTTTCTGTATTTCTCGGGGCATGCGCCTGCATTTATGTGTACATTTCAGGTCCCGCCGTGCACCCGGTGTTAGTATGACAGAGAAGGTAACGAAGCGGGTGAGAGGAAAGCCGAGCAGTAAGGGACACGACGCGCAGAGAGAGACCGCGGCTCGATCGCTACCTAATTGCAGTTTACAGACGAACGGGCGCGGCCAATTCTCTGCACGGATTCCACGATCCGCTCACCGAAGCCGGACGGACCTTGGCCTTTCTCTAATTACCATGGCAACTGCACCTCGCTGCCACCGGAAATCAGACACAGCGCACCTCCCAGAAAGGTCCGGCTAGGAATCTAGGGATCGTTAATCCACAGTGGTCAGAGACGGTCCTGTTGCTCCTCCATCCAGGGCTGGTATGGCTAGCATCGTGAGCGAGGGTCCTGGGCTGCACTGCAAGGGGCTGGATGCGGTCTCTGATCGACACCCCCTCCTCCTTTCCCCGCAGGAACTCGGATGCGTTGTCGCGGGTCTGTGTTTCCGGCGGGCTACATTGAGTGTGACACCTCGTCGAGAGCCTGCTCGCCCGCGCTTTTCAGGCTCCGCGTTTCCTTCGGGAGGTTCTGTCTGCGGAGGAGGTTGCTCGCTTAGTTTGATGCAGCGGCAGTGGTCCTTCCCTCAGTGTGGAAATGCCGTAGGTATCTCCGTCCAGGCATTGCTGTTTCTCGGGCCCCTCTGCGAGCCTGGAGAGTTTGTCTGTTGTTGTTTTAAGTAACCTTTTGTGTTTTTCTACTTTTCTGAGTATAAACGTGTCTCCTCCGCCGACAGTTCCTGGTGCTTACCCACTTGATACCCTCAACCCACCTCTGCCCACCTTCCAGCCGCACTTAGGTGGTAGCCTTGGTCCACGTTAGTCCTGACTCTCCACGGCCTTTGACTGGGTTTATAGGCTGTGGGGCTGTAGCCTGTGATGTATTTTAGCGCTTGAAGTAATTCCAGATATGGTTAACATACCAAGAATGGGATGGAGTCGATTGGAACACGACACGTCATTTGACAATGCCCATGAGTGTGGTGAGTTCCCACAAACTTATAGGGCAACTCAAGAACTGGGTCTGGGGGATTCTTTCCGCCTCCCCACGTGGGAGTCTGTACTTGTTCTTCAATAAATTTCCACCTTTTCTATGCAACAGAAAAGAACTGGGTCTCAAGAGACCTGCATTCCAGCTATGAAAGGAGGAAGCGTAGCCAATTCTGGTGTCAGTTTCCTTATTGCTGCTGTATAGAAACTTTTAAAAAGTTGAGGAAATAAGTTTTTCTTTGGGGTGGAGCAATTCCTATCTAACACGTGAAATTTTCTGGCAGTCCTTGTCCCCAGGTTGACTTAGGTACCCCCTCCTGTGCATTTCTGAAGTAACTTACTTATTCCACTATTATTTTTAGATTTGAGCCAAATGCAAAGCAACACAGAGGGGGAAATATTTGTATTAAATAAGAATTGACATGAAAGTGGAAAGATGTGAAGAAGTAATTTGGCTCAATTGATAGAGGGTCCTGGTTCGATTCCGGTCAAGGGCATGTACCTCTGCTGTAGGTTCCCCGCCTCCCCCTTAGTGCCCCCAGGAGGGAGCCAATCTCACATGGATGTTTATCTCTGTCTTTCCCTCTCCCAATCTCTCTAAAAACCAATGGAAAAATATCCTCGGGTGAGGATTAAAAAAAAAATGAAAGTGGAAAGATGTAAAGAAATAATAAGTTGGCTCAGTGGATAGAGCGTTGGCCTGCAGACCTAAGGGTCCTGGTTCAATTCTGGTCAAGGGCACCTACCTTGGTTGTAGGTTCCCTCTCCCTCTCCCCTTAGTGCCCCAGGAGAGAACCAATCTCACATGGATGTTTATCTCTGTCTTTCCCTCTCTCTTCCAATCTCTCTAAAAAACCAATGGAAAAATATCCTCGGGTGAGGATTAAAAAAAAAAGAAAAGAAAAAAAGAATAACCTACATTTCTTGAATCCTTGTGATCTGGTACAGTTTTAACAATCTACCTACATATTCTCATTGAATCCTAAAAAAGGACTTTAGGAGGTA